TAATGATTGGGGTTTAGGGTTTAGGGTCGAGTCTAAGGTTTAAGGATTAGAGTTTAGGGTTTTCTCGAGGTCAAAGCAGCGACGCCTGCTGAGCTCTCTGTGAACCCTGAGCTCCCGGCTGGAATGACACCCAGTCCACCATCCTTCAAACGGTTTGGGTTTAGGGTTTTTGCCTAGAGGTTTTAGGGCCAAGGGATGCCTACAGGTTTAAGGGATGCATACACCAAGAATGCCGGCATCAAGTTGAACATATGCCTGGATGGCCCTTGCCAAACTACCAACACAACACAAAACATTACATAATATTATGTCTATTTACTTCCACCATGTGAATGTATAAGAACACACGTAACCAGCCAATATACAGCATGCATACTTGCTAGTCAAAGATCACGGCAATTCTTGAATGCAGAGTTCCGGAAGCTGCGCGCAGCAGGTTTTGACTTACAGAGTACGCCAAGAGAGTCAAACCAAGGCACAGAGCCACCAGAGAGCCGAACTATGAAGTGTGTACAGTCCCCTTCATGACTGCATCAAAATGAACCAAATAAAGACTCATAGGTAGTAAATATCCAATTCATCTAGATATTAACTTGCCTATTTTCGTGTAGCTGGCAAACAGAACTGCATTTCTGGTCGGTCGTTTAAGGCAACTGGCTGCTGGACTTCCCTGACATCTGAAGCCATACGCCCCAAGCCCCGTATCACGACAGGACCCATAGAGACCACATCATTGAAAGCAAAAATAAAAATTGACTTTTTAAGTCCTGCAAAGCAGACAAAACTTGGCCTCCTGTGAACTTCCTTCCGAGATCCGGGCTGCTCCTGACTGCGCCACGAGATGGCATCCACCTCGCGGCGCTCACTGCGGCGCGGCCGTGGGTTCACAGGACGTTAAGCTGAAGCCTTTTGCGTTTTTTAAGCATTTTCAGTTTGGGGTTAGGTCACGTATCTTCATTACTTATCGCAATCTGTCTATATGTGTGCGCGTTCGAAAGGTATGAACATATACATATGCATGTGTATATATATATATGAACCCATGTAATTATGTAATTATCTAATTATGCAATTATCTAATTATGTAATTATGTAATTGTGTGATTGTGTAATTATGTATGTATGTATGTATGTATGTATGGATGGATGGATGGATGGATGTATGCATTCATGGATGTATGTACGTATTTATGGATGTATGTATGTATGTATGTATGTATGTATGTATGTGTGTATGTATGTATGCATGTATGTATGTATGTATGCATGTGCGTATGTAATTTAATGTAATGTGATGTAATGTGATCTAATGTAATGTAGCGTAATGTCATGTCATGTAGTGGAATGGAATGGAATGTAGTGTAATGTATGTTATGTTTTTCTGTATGTATGTATTTAAGGGGCTGCTCCCAGAGTCGGGCAACGCATGCACTCCTTAATTCATTCATTAATTCGTTCATTCATTCATTCTATCAATCCATCAATCAATCAATCAATCAATCATTCATCCATTCAAACATTCAATCATTGAATCATTCAATCATTCGTTCAGTCACTCATTCATTCACTCATTCATTGGGCGCGGGGCAGGGAAGGGCTCGCGGGGGGGGGGAGGGGCGGGTGGGCCGCGCGCGCGATTCATTCAATCAATCCATCAAGCCATCAAGCCATCAATCAATCAATCATTCAAACATTCGTTCATTCAATGATTCATTCATTCACTCATTCATTGGGCGGGGGCCCTTCCCGCCCTGACCAGCATCATGACGAGCACGCGTGCGCAGGCTCGCGCCCCGTCCCGCTTGGTCCCTCTGCCGCCTCCCTGGCCAGCATCATTGCGGGCGCGCGGAAGCCACCTTTGAGGCCTTCCAGTGAGCATCATCAGCATCATTGCGCGCGCGGGCACCAATTTGAGGCCTTCCGGTACCCCTCCCGACCTCCGAAAACATCGGCCTGCGCCTGATGGGCCGCTGCGCGCGCGCCGGGTGCTCATGATGCCCCGCCGCGTGCCGCCCAGGTGTCGCCCGCTGGTGCCCGAAAACAGGAAAAATACCGTGCGGAAGCCTCCCAACCAGGTCCCGCGCGGCCCGATGGAGAAACGAGGGTCCCATGATGCAGACCCACGGGACCTCGCCCGGAGACCTTTCGGAACATGCACGCGTTTCGCAGCCATTCCCCTCGGTATGGCGGGTTTCGGGCCCCCGTGGAGGACTCCAGCAGGCCAGCCGGCGAGCATCATGAGCACTCGGGGCGGCTGCAAACGGCCCTGCAGCGCGAGGCGATGTTTTGCCAATCTTTGAACGGGGCGCTGAAGCCCGCACAGGGCGCGCATCATCTGCATCAGCGCGGTTCGGCGGACCCCAAAGGGCGTGCATCATCAGCATCAGCGGGGTTTGGTGAGGGGGGAGGCGACCTGTGCTGTTTGAACGTGGGCGCAGCCCCTAGAATCGGGCAGCGCTCGGTCCCCCGAGCGCATGCCAGCCGTGCTGTAGCTTGCTAGCTTTGCTTTAGCAAAAGGCGGTGACCGCCAGTGCCGCCGACCCCCGCTTTCGAATCTGTTGCGTAATTTTGGGGTAGCCACGGGGAGCCACCAAGGGGCGCATCATGAGCATCAGCCGCCCCAGTCTGGGACCCGGGGGCGCGCATCATCAGCATCAGCCGGGCCGTGGGGACACGGGTCAGGGCGAGAGAAGGCCCCTCCGTCCTTGCTAAATGTTGTTCTAAATGGTTTGCGGTTTGAAGCTCAAGTTTACATCGGTGTGTCATCGGTTTGTCGCCTCTAGAATACAACTCTACATCCAATATCTTCATATTTAGGATTTGTTTATTTTTATATATTCAAGTTCATATGTACATACATGCATGGAAATACATAGCATGCCTCTACACTCGGTGGCACAGAGGCTTCAAAAAAGGACTGCAGGAAGAAAGCCGGCCTCGGCGGACAGACGTCGCAGCTCCGGTGGAGTTGATTCGGGCCTTGTTTCCGAAGCAGGGGGCTTAGGGTGTTTTGGGTTTAGGGCTTAGGGTTTAGGGTTTAGGGTTTAGTGGGTTTAGGGCATCACGGATCAAGTCATCGGCTGGGTTCCCCGGAAGTACGCCACTCGTCAGGAGGAGCCCATACAGAAGATCCAAGCCACACTAGTTCAGAGAACTGCCAATGCCTGAGACTTTGGCATCTCCTTGCGCTCTTCGGGAGGGGGTGGCTTGCAAATCACCACCTGCCGGCACTCGACAGCTCATCAGGGACTCAAGAACCGGATGAGAAATCCCCAACCGAGGCAGGAACCCAGTCATCAAGGTCTGGTCGCTTGAACTCCTGCACGTCACGGGGCTTTTTGCTGACTTGCCCAGCTTGCTTTCTGCGCCGGCTCCGACCGGCCTCTGCCTCAGCAAATTAAAGCCAAACAGGGTTCGCAAATCGCCGTTTGATCTAGGGGCTGAAGGCAGCACCAGCCGACCCTCATGACTCCCCTGTCTAGCGAGCCTTGAGCTCGTGGATTTCTATGGCATAGCCCTGGACGTCGATGTAGTTTAAAAACAACCTGGCGCAACCATGCAGCAGCTGCAGCATTTGGCAGCAACAAGCTTGAAGCTCTTTCCCTGGGTCTCGCGCGGAGCGCCCGGGTACAGTACGTTATCTGCAAAAACGATAGCCTCGGACATAGTGTCATACAGGAGCCGTCTTTTCAGGAGGAGAAGGAATGCAACAGCCAGGCATAGACAACTCGGCATGGAGCCGTCTCGGACAGGCTAGGTTCAGCCGCGTGAAGGTCCTCGTGACAGGAGGTGGCACAACCTCTTGCACTGCACAGGAAGGGCCACGCGCACGTGCCTCATGGTAGATCGTGCCCCGATGGTCCTGCAGCTCTCGCGTCTCGGGCGACTTGTGGCAATGCGGTCAAAAAGAACTGCCCAGTGTCCAGGAGCAGGAAGTCAATGGTGCCCAGCTGCCCAGTGGCCACCCAGTCGCAGGCACACCTGCAATGCAATGCAGCACAAACACCTGCTCAACAGTATTGCAGCAATCAATCATTTCCATGCCCATGACAGAATCTGCTCAGAAATATCCTTCTCTTCATGCCTGACACAAAGCATGGCAGCAGCACCCCACCCGCACCTGGACTTCCCCCTCCACCCCGGCAAACTGCAGCACACCACCTGGATCACAAAAGCATGCCGCGGCCATGTGGAAGGCTGCTGCTCTCGATTCAAAGGGTTTAGGGTTTCGGTTTTAGGGTTGAGGTTTTAGGGTTTAGTGACTAGGGTTTAGGGTTTAGGGTTTGCTGTCCAGAATTCTGGAAGCTGGAAGCCTTCGTGTCTAGGCCCGATGCCCTTTGGCGCCATGGAGTTTCCAGTCTGCTGCTTCTTGGCCCTCCCGGAAAGTAATCCCTCGCCTCTCTGCACCGCTGTCGAAAATCTCTATGAAGTCTTCAACCGTTACTACGAGGGATAGGAGAATCCGTTTTTCTACGAGGGGTACTGTTATTGCAAGTGGTACTCTGAAGCCTACAAGAGTCTTGAAACCCTGTCACCACTGAAGCTCTGAGACCGCCACGGGCGATGTACGCATTGGCCGCATCCACTTCGCATGTGGTGACCTTTGCTCAGGTCTGGGCATCCTCTACTCGGCCCAAGCCTGGATACTTGCTTGCACTCTCTCCAACAAGATGGTTCACATCTCGGCGCAGCACGCTGCCACGCCCGCCGAGTTCGCGCAATCGCTGCGCCATGACCATGGAGGAGTAGCCGACGTAACCTCGGAAGCTCTTCGAGACAACATCCATCTGAGTCTGAGCCCACGCATGGGTAGTTCTCTAAATCAGGGTCCCTTTTTTAGGTCCCCAACATAGCACGGCACCCGTATAAAAGGGACCCCAAATTAAATGGGACTCCTACTTTAGCGAACTACCCACATAACCCTAAACCCTAAACCCTAAACCCTAAGCACGCAGCAAAAAGCGCACTCTCGAGGTGCCGACAGCCAAATTCAACGATGCGGTCCTCGGGCCGCAGGGTCGCCTCAAATCTCAGGCATTCTCACGCATTCTCACGCCTAACTCCAGGGTCTCGTTAGGATTTAGGGTTTTAGAGGGGTGTGGGGTTTTTAGGGTTTAGGGTTTAGGGTTTAGGGCTTAGGATTTAGGGTTTAGGGCTTAGGGTGTTTAAAATTTAGGAGCTTTAGAGCTTGGAAAAGGAGGCTTGGCGGTGGGTGGAAGCCTCCAGAAGCTCCTTCTTCTGCTCCCCCTGGATTTTCAGCCAACTCCGCTCCTCCCGGGGAGTTCTTCGGAGTCGACGAGTCGAGGATGAGCAGGATGGGGATGGGAGGCGCTTAGCAGCTTAGGGTTTAGGGTTTGGGGGTGTGGGGTTTAGGGCTTAGGGTTTAGGGTATAGGGTATAGGGTATAGGGTATAGGGTTTAGGGTTGCTCCTCTGCAAACTCTTCGATCACCTGCGGAAGCTGAAACTGACGACTGCTTTGCTCCAAAACGCGCAGTTGAGCTTTCCACTTTTCTCGGGGCCTTGATCACGGACTGCACGTCTCCGGGAGTGGCTCGCTGCCTGCGCTACGTCTTCGGACCGTGCAAGAAGGAGCCCCAAGCACGCCCACGGAACGGGGAAGAATCAGCGCATCCAAAGGCCTAATCCACTTGAAGAGCTGCACCTCCTTCTGCGCCATGGGCCTGGCGCCAGCCAGGCTGCAAACGCTGCAAGGGACAGGTCGAAAATCGAGAGTGAAACCTCAGAGCTCCCAGGGGTACCGGACTTCGTACCTGCCAAATCCAGAATGCGTTGACAAGTCATCCTCATCAGCGAAATGGAGGGTTCAATGAGTGCTGTAGAGAAAAGCCTTCTGCGAAGACTGTATCCTTTGGAGGATTACTTTCGAGGTGGCTCAGTCTCCGCGTTGCCTCGGGGAAGTCTACGGCGAGGGTGGCCTCGTTCAGGACCTGGCCGGAGGCAGCGCTAAGATGATCGGCTTGTTGCAGCCGTAGTTCCTCCTCTTGCTTCGTCGCTCGTGAACACGCAGCTGCTGCTGCAGCACTCTGCCTCGGGTACGTTGTAGTCAAGCTTGCGCTGGCGCCTCAGTTTAAACACTGTGCCACTGCGTGCAGAAACGGACGGTTGAGGACCCTGGCATCTCGTCCTGGATCTCATCCGCAGCCTGCCTGTTCCTCAGACCAGCGACCGAAAGCCCTCGCCCGCAGGTTGCGAAGCTTACGAAGCTGCCGGAGAACGGCCGGCCTGCCATCGCGGCAGGCTTGAGCTGCACAGGCCAGTGCAATGCTGTCGGGTTCGACCTGACTCAAAGCAACAGAAGCAGATTCCGCTTGAACTAAGGGCCGTCACTGGATCCTACACATGACTCTGGCTAGGATACAACGTCACGACCGGCCTCCTCTAAGCGCATCTGCTCAAGCAGGGACAGGCACTGTGGCCAGCGGCCTGCCTCCATACAAGCATACCTCCAAAGGTCTGCGACTTCAAAGCTGGCACGCCGGGAGTGCAGTCATCAGCGCGAGCTCTGAGTTTCACGCAACGCCACTCCGAAGCACATGAGATCGCGGGAGACATCTTTCCTGGTTGGTGCGAGTTGCGCGGCTACCGCGCAACTTCCGAGAAGCACATGGGTAGCTTTCGAAAATAAGGTCCCTTTGGGGGTCCTTTTTGTAAGGGTGCCGTACTACACTGGGGACCTAAAAAGGGATCCTAATTGAGAGAACCACCCACATTGCTGCAAGGCGGCGGAGACTGCGGGGTGCCCGCGCACTCGAGCATCTCCAGGGTTGCCTGCACGTGCAAAGCTCGCTGCTTCGTCGCAGGGAGCTGATCTATCGGACCCAGACTTCTACGCAACTCCGCGTCGGAAGAATGCAAGAACTCATTGGGCTTTTCGATAGTATTAAACTTCGATCAAAACACCCAAGTTGCCTAGGCCGTCAAGGTCTCCGATCCCTGATCCCAGGAACGAAGAGAGAAAGAACAGTCACTTTGAACCACAGCTCAAAGCCTAAAGGGCCTAAAGGCCCTCTAAAATCTGAAGCAGGAAACTGGAAAAATGTGGAGACCAAAATCCCTGCCCTCAGTCTCCAAAACCCCCAAGTCCCACTACGAGAACCCCACAGCCCCCCTGCACACTGGAGTTTAGGGTTTTAGGGTTTGGGGTTTAGGGCCCAGGGCCCCAGACACCAATTTGTAAATCCATCACCCCGCCAACAGCGTATCCCATGGCTTCAACACTCCTTACAAAAACAACTCCGCCACATCCCAAAACCCAAAGACACCAAAACACCAAAACAAGAAGAAAAAAAACGGCAGGGGACCTCCCAGGCACCGGCTCCGGCCTAAGCATTTTAGGGCATTTTGGGTTTAGGGTATTTAGTGTTTAGGGTTTAGGGTTTGGGGTTTAGGGTTTGGGCAGGAAATGAAGCAAGAACCACAACTGGCGTTGATGAGATATATCACAGAAACAGAAACATCCCGTCGGGCTCTGACAAGCACAGACAAGCATGTATTCATAGATGCATGTACGTATGCATGGAAGAATGAATTGATGGCTGGCTGGATGGATGGATGGACGGAGGAAGGGAGGGAGGGAGTGAGGGAGGGGAGGGGAGGGAGGGGCGGGATGGATGGGCGGATGCATGGATGCTGGGATAAAGGGATGCACATGCATGCATGGGCTGATGCATGGAGACAGAGCGATCCGCTGTTGTTGCGTCGGAACCGGCTCCTCTCCCCCCTCCCCAGAAAGGGAGTTTCAGAAAAATAGTGGTACCCTACGATATCAGAGGGCCTGCTATTTAGGGTTCCATATTGGGGTTCCGTGCTTTCTGAAAGTCCCAGATGTGCCCTAGCATGTTCGTCCCCTCCCACGCTCCAGGTGCCGCCCGTATGTTATGGTGTCGTGTCTCAGCACAAGCTTCCGTGGCAGATTCGCCAGGAAGGTAATCTCGAAGCTGACCGACAAGGGAGACTCCCCTCCCCAAAAGAAAGATAATCAATGAACAAAGGACACATAAACACATAATGCACATATTTCGCTCTCTCTCTCTCTCTCTCTCTCTTCTTTCAATGGGCTTGTCTCTCAGTTTGTTTGAAAGGTGCAGCGCCCAGCTCCTATCTCTCCCGCTCCCTCGCCTTCCCTCTCAGCCATCGACACAGGCCATCATGCCGATGTGCCAGGACTCGCTGTTTGCCACCCCGAGCCTCGTTAGACAGGTGCGTTCAAGCTCCGGAATCTCTATTAAACCCTAAACCCTAGACCCTAAACCCTAGACCCTAAACCCTAAACCCTAAACCCTGTACCCTAAACCCTAAACCCTAAACCCTAGCAGTAGCAGTACCCTAAACCCCAAACCCTAAGCCCTAGACCCTGACCCTAAACCCCCAAACCCTAAAGCCTCTTCTCAGGCGTCCAGGGCTCCAGCTCTTGCGCCGTGGCCAAGAAGGTGAGGGCCTGGCTCCCAGGGTTCTGGTTCAGGAAAGTCAGAGTTTAGGGTTTAGGGTTTAGGGTTTAGGGTTCTCAAGCTGCCGTAAGAAGGATCCACGGTAAAGAGAGTGTTTTTCCTTATCATGGCAGGGCTGAGGCTCATGGTCTTTGATGATATTCATCTGAGCCCGAGTGTATAGAGCGTAAAGTCGATCTGGTAGGTGGGGGGGTACCTAGCTGCGTCTGCATCTGCATGTATCTGTCCACTGTCTACCCATCTGCCTATCTATATGGGTTCTAATTTTAGGTCCCCAATAATGGCACGGCACCCTGATTAAAAGACAAAAACAAGGCCTAAAAGGGACCCCACTTTAGAAAACCACCCACATGGCGCTATCATCTCGTGGCGTAAACTGCCCGGAACCAAGGAGCCAGGCCTTCTCCCACTCACCGTTCCGACTGCAGGCCAGGGAAAGCGCCTGAGACGCTTCTGAGGACTGAGGACGGTGACTCTGATCTTGACTTTTTTGATTTTTTGGGTTTAGGGTTTATTTAGGTTTTTGGGTTTAGGGTTTAGGGTTTAGGGTTTAGGGGTGATTCTAATCTTGATGTCTCCTCTGCTGGCTTCCAGTCTTATCGGATCTTACGATCCGTGGTGCAGTGGTGGTCCAAGGACGT